AAAAAATTATATATTTAATCTTTATATTCTTAAATTTGTTTAGAACTTAGCTTTTTCATAATTATCATGTCCTTTTTCAATTTATTTTTATATAAAAAAAAAGAGAAGAAAACAAGAGAAGTAAATAAGATGGAAAATTTGAATGGGGAAATAATTTTTTTTTTAGAATAAAAAACCACTAAATTGAGAATGATCAACATTGATCAAAAGACTATTTAGAAATTTTAACACTAAGAAAGTAATTGATTTCTTTTGGTAAACTACAGGGATGAGGTCATGAATTATTTTGAGAAGTAAAAAAAATGCGGCATATTGTTTTAGGTTTCACCCATAGCATTGTTTTTGACTAACTATGATGCATGTGAGCAAGTGAAATTTTTAGTACAATCAAAGGTATCTATCATTTCACATTTATGCTAGCCAAGATTAGAAAATTAATGAGAATTTTACTTTCACGATTTAGTATTGAATTTGAATTTTTAGTCACTTGTGAGAAAAGAACACGTTGCTCATGATTAGAGCAATCTAGTAGCATCTTAGAACACGAGATTTCCACCTAGAGATCTCAAAGTTCAAGTTAAAAGGGGGAGGATTTGAATTTAAGGATAGGGGGAAAAAAAACTACTCACAATATTATGTAAATGAGGGCCCACTGAATCTCCAATCAGGGGGCAAAAAAAGAAAAGAAAAATTATCAATTCTTTATGTGTCATTTGGTTATCAAGAATAAAAAGTATGAAATAAGAATGTTGGAATCGAAATGATATTTATATTTATATACCGTATTTGAAATAGTAATAAGGAGTCATAATGAAATATAAATTTTTTAATATTTAATTTTTAATACGAATAAGTATAATGATTAAAAAAATAATTTCATCGGCTATGATTGTAATAAAAATTATAGAGGAAATTGTAGCAATGGTGGTTATGATGGAGTGAGAGAAAAAGATGAAAATGAGATGATAATAATAACAATATAGTAATATCAATAATATATTTCAAAATAATTGATACCATTACCATTGGAGGTGATAGTGGAAGAAGAATGATAATGACGGTATAATAAAAATAATAATGATAGTAGAAAAATAACGAAGTGACGTAATAATAATATATAATAATTTTTGTTATTACCATCGTTAATGGTGATGATAGTAATGATATAGTAAAAGTGATGGTGTTAGTTGAAAAAGAGTGGTGGCAGAAGACTAATAATAATAATAGTTTTTTATTTTTTTGTTTTTTTATCATCATTGTCGATGAATTTGATAGTAATAGTAAAAATAATTGATACACAATAAATATAAATAATATATTATTACCTAAAAAAATTCATTTATATTTTTTGTTTTTATTCCAACTACCTATATACGAATAAAACTATGATTAATTTTTATTTTCATTCATTTTAATTAAACAACTACAAAATAGAAATATAAATTTTATTTCTGTTCTCACCATTGCATTTATGATAACGAAATAATATTTTAGATTGCTAACTAGTTTCATATATAGAGTTCAAATGTAATGTAGGAATAATAATTTTGTTATACGTTATTCGATACTAATGAATATTTTCTTTTTTAGAACAAGAAGAAAAAAAAAATGAAGTCATTGTCGGTATGGTCCGTCGCAATGGAGTGTCGAAATAATTATGAGAAATGTCAATAATAGATTGCCTAAGCTGCAAACTTTGGATTCTGACAGGCCATGGGCTTTTTGCGTGCTCCTTTTTGTCTTTCTTGTGTCGTTCATGTGAACACGTCTTTAGCATGGCGTGGAAACAATGAATAAGAATAAAGAGAGATTAAAAAGGTGGTTGTTCTCGAATATTTTTTAGTAAAATATAAAAAAATTACATTTATAGTATTATTTGTTTTCAAAAATATACGATTAATATTTTATTAAAAAATAAGTGAGAGTTGTAAGATAATTTTTTAATAAAATATCTTTTTTATTAACATATTTTAAAAAATAAAATATAAGTTGCTGTTTTGAAACAGTAACTCATACATTGAATGTTTTGATTAAATGATATGAGTTATTGTTTCAAAACAATAACTTATACATTGAATGTTTTTAAAGGCTGCACTTACAACAGTTTTTTCTTCTCTTTAATTCATGAACTTGCCTCGCAAATACCTCAATCACCTGTCTTTTTATGCTTATATGCTTGCAAAAGCCAGGAAGATTCTATTCTAAGTTTTACATAACGTTAGTGGAATTTTTTTTATTCTAAACTCTAGAAGGCTACTTAGTCTGAAGCTTCATCCAGGATTCAAAGAATGTCCACAAGATTTTCAAAATTTTCACATCTCTTTATGCATTCCCTTCGACACACGTGCGGATGGTGATAAGGAGTATTATTCCCTTCCCCGTAAAGTTAAATCGTTAATAGAAGTACTAACGAGTGTGGTTGGGTAAACGTTTGGGTAATTTTACAAGGATTTTTTTACCCGACCCGAATACTCAATCCTATTGGATAATTAGTTTAACCGGAACTTTTTCAGCGCATTGCGCATTAATTTTTTAAGATAAATTATTAATTAAATTACATTTGGAGGTCGGGCTCTGGCAACCTAGGTTACAAGCCATTAAATGGGTCATTTGGGTTTGGATTCTTGTTAGTTTTAAAATTTAAAAAATGAGAAATATAATTTGGGTATAAAAAATATTGAAGTCTTGCCGGGTTTTTTTTTCCAAAATTCAATTAATTTCCCAAATTGCCTTATATGTGAATTTTAATCTGTCAAAAAAGATAATGACGATGATAATAGAAATAGTTGATATATAATAAATAAAAATAATATATTATTATCTAAAAAAATTCATTTATATTTTTTTATTTTTATTACAATCATCCATGTAGGAATAAATTTTTTAATATTTATATTTATATTTATTTTTATTCTTTAATTTTATTTCAACTAAGTAGCTATAAGATAGAAATAAAAATTCTATTTCTATTCCCATTCATTTTATTTTTGATAATCAAATAACATTTTAGATTGCTAACTAGTTTCATATATAGGGTTCAAATGTTAGAAATGGTCATAAATAATAATTTACTATGGATATAATATCCGGATAGATGCATAACTTTTTTAATATGTAATCGGAATGTTTTTTTATTCTTAATATGCAAAAGCTGGCACAATGATGTAAAAAAGGAAAAAAGAAAAGCTGGCACAACTCTCTTCGTAATTTTTTTTGCTTCAGTAAGAGGTCTAATATGTCTTGCACTACAATGAAGAATAGCCCTCTTTGGTTCATAATTATCATTGAAAAACAGTTATCATTAAGACTGGTTTTGTTTCCAAGAAAAATTACCGACTACTCAATCATTACAAAAAAAAAATCTTATTTTTTATATACTTTTTTTAATGTTAATTTGGAATCCATTTAAAAATATACTTTTAAATGCATTTGAATTGCTCACATGTACTTTAGCAAGCACCTATACCGCATTAAAAAAAAAGCTCTTGACACAAGTACTGAGATGAGTAAATTATAAATTAGTTTTTTATTTTTTTAAAATAAATTAATTAGTTTCTTTTATTTCAAAAAACTAATTGTTTAGTTCATTAGTTATTATTGATTATACTTAATTTAATATTATTTTATTTATAAAAAATATATTTTTTTCTTATCAATTCTTTCATATTTGTTTACTTATTTTTCTTTTTTCTATTTATTAAAATCAAAATCAAAATAAATTGAGAAAAGAACAAAAGAAATTAATTTATAAAAAAATTAAAAGAGATAAGAACTAAATAATTAATTTTGAAAATAGCATAGCGTAACTAAATTATATTTTGAAACTAAAAATGCTAATTTATAATTTACTCTGCCAAGATTTTATATGTAGGGATTAAATAATTCTTTTTTGAAAAAAAGAGACTGATTAATTATTTTTTTGAAACTAAATATTAATTTATAATTCACGCAAGATTTAATACTATCTTTTCACAAATTTATTAATAATAAATAAATAAATAAAACTCAATGTACATATTCCGAACCCAAAAGAAGAAGGGGAAAAAAACCGAATCCCGAAACGTGCTCCACGCCCTTCTCTGCCGTCGGTGGAAAAAGAGGTACAGAAAACAAGAAAAAGCAAGAGATTTACTTTAGAATCTTTTGACTTTGCATTTCCGTGGGCGAGATCAACAGGTTGTCTTAGACAAATCTCACAGAACTACAAGCTTTTGCTAAACTAGAGATTACGACGAACCCAAAGGTGGGGTTCACAAGGACATGTCAGGCCATTTGATTGAATCAAAACGGTCAATAAAGAACAGTAGCCAATCTTTGCATAACTTAAGACCACAATTAGAGGCCAAAAAAGAAGTAGAGAAATAATCAACGCGGTCAATTTCAAGTCTTCGTTTTCTCGGTAGCAAATTATATTACAAATTAGCCCTTTTATTTTTTAGAAATTAATTAATTATTTTTTCAAAAATTAATTATTTAATTTATTAATTAGCTCTGATTATGCTTAATTTAATATTATTTAATTTAAAAAATTATTTTTTCTCATCAATCTTTTAATACTTTTTATTTTTTTTCTATTTCTCAAAACAAAAAATTAAAATAAATTAAAAAATAATGAAAATAATTAAATTATAAAAAAATTTAATAATAAATGGATCAAATAATTAGTTTATGAAACAAAAGAGATTAAATAATTTGTTTCTCAAAAAGTAGAATGATTAATTTATAATTAACTCATGTGTAGAGTTATAGAATTGGAAAAACCAAAAAATTGAGAATGGGGAAAGAAAAAAACCCCCCGAAAAGAAAAGTTAAAACCAAAAAGGCAATCACCTTTTCCCGTTGAAAACTTAAATGAGACAGGGCAATTAAATAGCCAGCACCCCACTAGCTTAGCTATAAATACCACAAGTTTCTCCAACGTCTTGTCCAAGCAAACTAAGACAGAAAAACCTTAAGAAATTATACTTTACAGCTTTTGTGTCTGTTCTCAATCCCGAAACATGGTGCTCTCAAAAATTTCTTCTCAGTCCGATGTCTCTGTGCACTCTACCTTCGCCTCTCGCTACGTCCGAGAGTCCTTTCCAAGGTATATACAGTACAGCACTATATCATCGCCTAAAATTGTTGCTTTGCTTCTTTTTTTTGTATATATAATTGTGCGAGCTGGAATGTATAGTATGTTGATATATGCTGGCCGTGGATATGTTATGATTTGTGCAGGTACAAGATGCCAGAGAACTCGATACCTAAGGAGGCGGCGTACCAGATCATAAACGATGAGCTGATGCTCGATGGGAAGCCAAGGCTGAACTTGGCATCTTTTGTGACTACTTGGATGGAGCCTGAATGTGATAAACTTATTATGGACTCCATCAACAAAAACTATGTTGACATGGACGAGTACCCCGTTACTACTGAGCTTCAGGTCTTCCTATCTACTCTCTTTTTAAAAAGATTATACATATATGTATTTAATTTGTATATAAGTTAACATTTTTGTGTATTCTTATGAGACTTGTAGAGAGTCCTTTTGGCGTCTGATGCCCTCAGTAAGAATTAGAAAGCATTTCCCTCTCCTTCAGTTTCTTTCTCGGTTTAAACTTTAAAGGGCAGTACAGGTTCTCTTTTATCAAGACCAGGAGAAAAAAAAAAACCAGTATTTAAAAAAAAAGGCAGGGACGTTTTTGTTTGCCTCAGGGAAAGGATGCATGCGAATTTGCTTTCGACTTTGTTTTGGTTTTCTTAGACAATGAAGTCAGAAAGCTGAAATTTGACTTTTCAGAAAGCTGAAAAGACCCCCAGGTCTATATATGGTGCTTTGGTCAATACCGAATCAATTAATGAGCACATAGTCCGTCAATAGACCTGGCATTTCTATGCGGAAGATACGCAACCATTAGCAGTAGGAGAATTTTTAGCAGACCTAGTCTATTTATATTAAGTCAATATACGTGTAATTTTGACTCAATAAAACAATCTATTAAACTTCATTCAATTATTTTATTTTATTTGATTACAATCAATCGAGTAAAGTTTTTGGTGTGCTTGTTACTAAATTACTTACTTGATACTTACGTGCAGAATCGATGTGTGAACATGATAGCACACCTATTCAATGCTCCATTGGGCGAATCCGAGGCTGCAGTCGGGGTTGGTACCGTAGGATCATCTGAGGCAATAATGCTTGCTGGTCTTGCATTCAAGAGAAAGTGGCAGAATAAGCGCAAGGCTGAAGGGAAACCCTGTGACAAGCCTAATATTGTCACCGGCGCCAATGTTCAGGTATAACCCTGGCACCACCACTCACGTGGAGGTTGTCTTGTCTTTTTTTTTAACCTTACTCCATGTAATGATAACTAGGGGTAGTAAAACAGGTAGGGGAAAAAGACAAAAAAAAGTTTAAAAAGTTTTTGTCATAAAGGTCCATTGTATTGGGCTGGGCTAGAGCATGTCAGTACCACTAGCCTAAGAAACATGAAAAATACAAAATAGCGGTTTCAGATTATATTCTTGTAGATCCAGTAAAGTTCCTGTAATCATTAAAAAATAAACAAGGATTTTGTTTTATTTTTCTCGATGTATGTAGGTATGCTGGGAGAAATTTGCAAGGTACTTTGAGGTAGAACTGAAGGAAGTGAAGCTGAGCGAGGACTACTATGTAATGGACCCTGTGAAAGCCGTGGAAATGGTGGATGAGAACACAATCTGTGTTGCAGCCATCTTGGGTTCTACACTCAATGGAGAATTTGAAGATGTCAAGCTTTTGAATGATCTTTTGGTTGAGAAGAACAAAATCAGTGGGTACTTAACTATCACCAGCTCACGTTAAATCCAATAGCTCATTAGCTTGAAATAGTACCATATAAAACTAGTGCACAATCCTCAATGTACAGAGTAATATTACTGTGATTTAATTTCTAAATGTTATGTTTGGCAGGTGGGATACCCCAATTCATGTTGATGCAGCCAGTGGTGGATTTATTGCTCCATTCCTGTGGCCAGAGCTTGAATGGGATTTCAGACTTCCATTAGTGAAGAGCATTAATGTCAGTGGCCACAAATATGGCCTTGTCTACGCTGGAGTTGGGTGGGTTATTTGGAGGAGCAAGGAAGACTTGCCAGAAGAACTCATCTTCCACATAAACTACCTTGGAACCGATCAACCCACTTTCACTCTGAACTTCTCAAAAGGTGATTATTAAACTGTTGATTCCAATATGGTATTCATGGCATCCTAACTTTCTTATACCTTAATTAACATGGTACTTTACAATTTCAGGTTCTAGTCAAATTATTGCTCAGTACTATCAACTAATCCGCTTGGGCCATGAGGTGAGAAATCTAATAAAATAATGCAATCCCAGTCTCTTCTGATACGTTATTTTCACCAAAAAGATAGACTAATTTTTTCTGGATCACCAGGGGTACCGAAATGTGATGGAGAACTGCCATGAAAACGCTATGGTGCTGAAAGAAGGATTGGAGAAGACGGGGCGCTTTAAGATTGTGTCAAAGGACGTCGGGGTGCCTGTTGTGGCCTTTTCACTCAAGGACAAGAGCTGGGGGCACGACGAGTTTGAAATAGCAGAAACGCTTCGTCGCTTTGGTTGGATTGTGCCAGCCTACACCATGCCAGCAGATGCTAAGCACATTACCGTGCTTCGTGTTGTTATCAGAGAAGATTTCTCCTGCACCCTCGCTGAGCGACTTGTTCTTGACATAACAAAGGTTTTGCATGAGCTCGATGCACTCCCTGCAAAACTCTTAGCTAAAACGTATGTCCAAAGCGTGGAGAATGGAAAGATTAACGGCACTGTGGAAGGAAAGAATGGCACTGTGGTCAAGAAAACAGCCATTGAGACGCAAAGGGAAATCACTACTTACTGGAAGAACTTTGTCACGGCCCAGAAATCCAACAGAAATAAAATTTGTTAGAGCTGCCTATCTACTACTAAGCTACAATATTGATTGAAAGAGAACCCTTCTTATATTTTAAACTATTTTTGAAGCTTTGACATGAGAAATTGTTTGGTCGGTCTAAATCTTTAGTCCTTGTTCTAGTCTTTCATTTTACAACAGAGAGAATTTGTAAACTTTTTTTTCTAATATAACTGCAATATTTTACTATTGCATAATTGCATTGTCTATTTGAATTTTTATTACAAAATTTATCGATTATAGTTTTACCATTTCTTATGGTTTAATTCTGTATTTTCTGCTGTTCGTGGGCATGAAATTTGTACCCAAGAACGGAAAAAAGGTCCATGTGTGATGAAATCCTAAAAGATGTGTTGATGACCAAGCAGTGTTATTGCGTTGCTTGCTTCTTTTTTTTTTTTTTTTTGAAAAAAAAATTATGTGTGTTTTCATTAATTAAAACTATCCTCGATAGTTTTAATTCAATAGAGAGCCTAAGCCCGAAACGGAGAGGGACTAAGCCCGAAACTGACGCAATTTTAATTTTTAACGGAATAACTATGTTTTCATCAATTAAAACAGAGAGGGACTAACTACTAAGTAAGCGCAAGCACAACAAGCACAAAGGCCCAGAGAGAGATCTAACCAGCTCGGGGAAAGGGTTGAAAAAGAAGAAATTCAGATGAAGCCCAGCCCCATAAAAGGAGAACCGGAAAAAGTTTGAGTAATTTATAAATTAGTCCCTCTATTTTTCAGAAACAAATTAATTAGTCTTTGTTGTTTCAAAAATAAATTATTTAATCCATTAACTAATGTTAATCATGTTTAATTTAATATTATTTTATTTTAAATAATGTAATCTTTTTTCATCAATCCTCTCATATTTCTTACTTATATATTTTTTTCTATCTCTTAAAATAAAAAAATTATAATAAATTAAAAAGGATAGTTAGGTTTTGAAAAAAACAAGTTACCAAAAAATTTAAAATACAATGACTAAATAATTATTTTTGAAATAAAGAGGACTAATTAATTTTTTAAAAAATAAAAGGACTAATTTATAATTTACTCGGAAAGTTTTTGGGGGGAAAAAAAACCTTTATTGCATATGCCACACGCAAACTTGTAATGTAGTAATGCAGAAAGCATGCGGAGCGTATAATGGAACTTCCAATCATCCAAATTTAATAATGATTCTTGCGTTCTCACTATTTTGCATCTCACCTGCCAATCGAGTTTCCTCAGTCGTGGAAAGAAGAGAAAATGCTCGAAGGAGAAAAAAAGAAAAGGGTAATCTAGTTATGGACCAAAATCTGTGTGAACATAAGAAACTATCGTTTCTTAGTGGAGATGAATCAAATCATTACATGTTGGAAACAAATATTCAGGCACAAAACCACATTCTTCTTCCACGTTTCCACAACCACCCCACTATCAAAAGGCACATTTTTTTTTTTTTTGTTCCCTTCTAAATTTGCAGTGCCTATATATATATAAGCTACTTACTTGGTAATACATGTAGCAAAATTGCAATATTCAAGACTAGAAACAATGAGCTATAACATGAGAGCTTGGGTTGTGGCAGTGTTGGTTGTTCTGGTAACTTCAAATGTTTTTATATGTGATGTTAATGCAGCAGGAGAGTGTGGGAAGACGCCAATTAGGTCAGCGGCTGCTAGCTTGAGCCCATGCCTGAGCGCGGCAGGGAATGCGAGGGCCGCCGTGCCACGAGCCTGCTGCTCCAAAGTTGGTGTCTTGATCAAGACAGCCCCAAAATGTCTTTGTGCGGTTTTGTTGTCACCTTTGGCCAAGCAAGCTGGAATCAAGCCAGGAATTGCCATCACCATTCCAAAGCGCTGCAACATTAGAAACAGACCAGCTGGAAAGAAGTGTGGAAGTAAGAGATAGTATTTTTTACAATTTGTTTCGATTTTTTTTTCTTAATCACCTTTTGACCCGTGTTTCAAAATTGGTAGATTGACATCAAAATCAATAACTTTCAAATCGTTGGGGGAAAAACAAATTGAACTTTTAAAATTTTAATAACTTAATTGAATTTTAAAAAAATAAAATAAATTCTCCCTCCATGATTTGTTGTTGTTGTTGTTCGTCGCTAGCTCACAACCATTTCGGCCCAAATCAGTCTGTGGTGGCCCGACTATATGAAGATCCCAAATCTGAGGCTACTAGAATTGTTTTAAGAAAAGTTCAAATCAATCTCTATATTTATAACAATGTCAATTCGATATCTTGTAAAATATTATTTGTGATAGTTATTGATTCGAACAATCTGATCAATATTTGGTTAATGTTGGCGTTAGACGACCAAAATTAAAGATGAAAAGTGTTTTTTACCTTCTATTTTCTAGTTGGATTTTATTAGAAAGTTTAATGAACATCCAATTACATATCAAGTAATTCATAAGATTTACTTGATAGTTTGATAGTTAAATAGATTGTTTCATTTTTTAAATTTAAAATTTGGAATTAATATCTAAAAAAATTTATTAAAATTTTCTAAGGACAAATACAAAAATTAACTAAAAAATACTCTTATGTTTAGGGGGAAAAAAAGAGAGGAAGCTATCGTATCATATCAGTTACGAGATTGATTAGAGACTCATTTTAATGCAGTTGTAGTAAATTGTACTTTGTTGATTATTATTGCTTGACTCATAATAAGCCTAATAGGGCCGTGCGGCTGGTGAAATTATCATGTGCATGCGTTTGGGAGGAATCTATATAAAGTTGATAAGGATGACTTGCATTTGTCCATTTGTCGGTTCCTAACGTGGGCTTTATGCAGAGTAGGCTCATAAAAAGCCCAAAAATCCAAACCATAACAGCAACTCTTTGGTATTGTCTCTTTGCAGGGTACACGCTCCCATGATGAAAGTCCAAACAGCATAGACAGGAGGGAAATGGCAAACCCCACGTGAGAAGAGCAGAGTGTGTGTTAATAAGAGCTGCCATTTTAGGGTTAGGTTATGCTGTATAATCATTGACCCGTTAGAGTTAAAGGCAGCAGCGTCAGTAGATGTTTATCTGTTGTTTGTATCTTCATAAATATTCATATGTATGCTTCAGCTTACGCGGTTGAAGTTTGTCTTTATGTACGCTTACAAAATCTGCATGCTACCCTTTTATTTCCTTCTCCTTTTCTTTTTCTTTTTCTTTTTCTTTTTTATTTACTCTCTCCATTTCAGCTTTTCTAATCAAACTATCCTCGTTATTTTACAAATATTTATCTTATTAAAAGAGCTTTTCTAATATGCACTCTAAAGACACAAATTGAACACAAATTGATCAATGTCTTACTTTTATAATTACGTGAATTTACTTCCATAATCGAGTAAAATCATGATCTATAATTTAATATTGTTGATTATAAAATTAAAATATTCATTTATACCAATTATTGCATGTCCTTAAGATAAATATTAAAAAAAAAGAGGATAATTATATGAAAAACTTTTCAAAAAAATCTTCTATCTAAAAAGACCATCAATTTATTTTTATATCTCTTAGATCCAAAATAATAAATTTGAAAATAAATTGATGGATTTTTTAGATAGAAGATTTTTTCATAAGGCTTTTCTGATAATTATAAAAAAAAATAAAAAAATGTAAAATTCACACAATATTTGGAATGTAGAAATATACAAAAAAGAAAAATAATTTATCCGTTGATATTAGAAGAGACGATAGTTTGGTTTTAAACAACGAATTTATGAATGGTGTGTGATCCACTTCTATATTATAACTTTTGTTAATTTGGATGAATGTTGAAATTAAAGTCCATCTTGAAGATTTGACCATAGGCTAAAATATATTGGATGTAAGGTGTAACCTCCCGTCAGTTCACAAAACATATTTGTCAATTCTTAACTGGATATCCAAGCCAAATTTCTTCTTTCTTAATGGATCCCCGATGTATCGTAAATTCTTAATTCATATTTATTAATGTTCGGCCTCTAATTAAAGTACTTATTCTTATGAAATAAACTATTGTTGTATTGAGGAGAACTCCACGTATATGTTTAAAATTCAGGGAAAACTACCTTTTGAGATCCTAATTTTGCATTAAATTGCAAAATTGAACCTTATATGAATAATTTTGCAAATCCAGCCTTGCATTCATCACATTCTGTCAATTCAATTTAACTAATTTCGATTGTTAACAAAAATTCACATGACGAATAATTCTAACTAAGACGTTTTATTTAAATTTCAAATCAATCACATGACAATAGTGTTAAATAGCATAACTGGAAAAAAGTTAGAAAAAAAAACTTGTAAATCTTTTGATGTATTTGATTTTTTAATTCTTTTAAAAATTAAAACTAAATATCTTGATCAAAATTTTATCACACATGACTAATATTTTCCAACTCACCATGTTTTAACCTAATAAATGGAGTTCTATTAACATATGAAAATAGTTGAATTGAATTGTCTAAATATAATGTTTATATAGTTGAATTCGCAAATTATTTATGTATATTCTTGAATTTATCAATTTGATGCAAACACGGTCTTCAAATTGGATTTTTCCAAAACTTTGTAATAATTACAAAAGAAAAGGTTCGACCGAGGAGTTCTAACATACGGAGGATGCATTGGCGAAAGATTTATTTCTTAATGCAATCGAGAAGTAAGTGTACAGGTAGAGAGGACTTACATGAAATTATCATATAGGGACGTGTTGAAGTTTGGTCTGAACGGGCGTCCGATCCCAGCCCCACTTCTGGGCCTACTTGATACTAAGAGCACCCGATCCCAACTCAACCTTCAAGACATCTGTTTCGGCCCATCCTAACTCACTCTTAAATACCTATTTTCTACTTGCATTTTCATTATATCACCATAAAAATTTACAACCATGAATCATTCGAATTCATTACACTCTATTAGTTATTCCATTATATCATCCTCTCCATTCAATTCCATTATGGGCTACCAAACATTGCCCTAATAGTAGCAAAACAATCAACGATCAGTAATTTCGATGAAAACAAAAACAACAAAAGAGCCCATGTAAAAAAGCAGGAGAAAGGGATGAAATCTAACTGTCAATGGGCCTAGATCCAATTTACATATGATCCCATAAAGCCCAGCCCACTATCCTTCTCCTTCTGTTAGAATATCCCATCACTTTAAGACCTTATGGCACAAAACTCCATAAAATGAGACATTCACACACCAAACGAAGTGACTCTGCTGATTTTTGTGGGTGTTATTATTTGTTTAAGAAGGGGATATTATCTGAGAAAACTTTTTGATATAACAATTAATTTTTCTTTTGTCGGGACTTAAAAAGCTAATCGCACCTGTAATGTAAATTATAAAAATTAATTTTCTTTTGGTCATTCGAACATACTCTGCCGTTTGATCAAAACGTCAATCAAATAAAAGGGGCAACACCCATTGGAGAAAGTTTAGAGTGCTAAAATCAAACCAAACCCCACAGAAGGGCGTGGTCCCACACTTAAGCTGGGCCCCACCAGCATGCCAAAGAAAATGGAGTAACAAGCAAATGGGCCCAACAGGAAAAAGAAAAAAAAAAAAAAAAACACCATGTGGTGGAGATAGCTGATCTGGCCCACAATGGGGAAGGATGTGTAAGAAAAAAGTTCCACGAAGGGAAAACAGTTGGTAACAACAATATCAGAAGGAAGAAATGAAATTGAAAAAAGAAGGAAAAGCTGAAATTTGAATTGTGTCTCTAAGCATGGGTTTGCTCCTCTTTCTCTTTCCCCTATCGCACAAACATTTTTGCTTTACATGCACCAAACAATCACAACAACACGATATGATATCATATCAAAACCTTGGCCATTATTTGGTTTTGGCCCCCCCATCATAATTAATCCTTACACTTATACATAAACCAGGAAAAACAATACAAAAGTGCGACCCCAATTCCCATATCCCAAGAAACACCACTTTTTCTCTTGTTTGCCGTTGACTGACCTCTGCTTCCAAAACCATGCTACTATGTGTAATTCTTACTCCTTTTTCTACAACCACTACATAAATAAATAGCACCAACTTGCACCACTTTAGTGTATGGCTCATTAAGACGAAGGCCACACCACCGTGATGATTTGATATGTCAAAATTATTAAACTCAGAGGAACATATGGGCTGGTACTGAGTTAATTCACTCCAAAACCATGGCTTATTACAATAGTAGTAGTGGTAGTAGTAGCCTCGCTTCCCTAGGTTGGGATCTTCAAAACCTTGGAGTTCTCAACGCAGACATGTCTTTAGGTACGTACCAATATGCTTAATTCTGCTTTTCTTTCTTTAATCATTTGTTTCTTTGTACTGCTGTTTTTGTCCACAATGCTTATCTTGGATGATTTAAAAACCTATTGAGGATCGATGTGAATAATGCATTTATTTCACAGCCATGGATAGAAGAACTTCACCATTTTTCTCCTCTGTTGAGTCTGATTTCTCGACCGGGTACTTAGAAGATGCTTTGCTTGAATTTAATGAGCGATCCAAACGAAGACGCCTGCGGTTGTTCGGTGCTGATCATGGTCATGATCAATCAGAAAAACCATACGAGCTTCCAAAGGTTATTAATTTCAAGATTTTGAATTTGATTATGATGTATATCAATTTAATATAGTGTATTGTTTGAAATGGTTAACAATAATTGGTTTTTATTCTTGGACGTACAGAGCAACTGGAATGAAGAAAACTTTGACGACTGGGAAAAAATGTCAGAGAATTTTAGTTGCATGAGCCACATAACTAGTTTTCGTGGGCCTTCAGGTATATATTTGTTTAGCCTTTTGTACTCTTAATTGTTATATTGATCAGTAATATGTATCCTAATTAATGGTTAGATATATGGGGTTATTTACTTTGTTTCTCTTGATTCATATTGTAGATGATCCCATGAACACGTCAATGAGCAATATTAGCGAGGAAGCAAATGTTATCTCAGAGTCAGAGATAAAAACACCAGAAGAGGAAATATCGGCCCCTGAAACTCTTGATTACTCATCATCTTCTTCTTACAAAGATTTGGCTGGCACAAACTCCATTTTTGAAAAAGAGAACATCCCTCATTCTGCCGGTACTTCTCTCTTACGCACACAAGTAGCCTTTTTCTTTTTCTTTTCTACATTAATGATGCACTGTCAGTTTCCCTTTTTTTGGTTTTATGGTTACCTGGGTATCCTCGGATTATTTTTTGTACACGTCGAGATTAAGCCCTCCTCTCCTAATCAGTTTCCTTTACTTTTCAAGAATTATGATTGAGTTATAAGTCCACTGGTCACACTTGATTATTATAGCTAATATTATGGCTAGTTCCTTATTGTTATTAGTGTTTTGTGGTTTAGATGATCACGAGGATAAGAGAAAGAAGAGGGTGGCAACAAGGGTGGTGTATCCATTTGCACTAGTGAAGCCAGGAGGGGTAGAAGGGGACATGACCATAAACGATATCAACGAGAGGATCTTAATGCCACCGACAAAGCCGGTAAGACATCCGGTAGGGGATTTCGCGTGTAGGCCATGTGTATCTGCTGATGGCCCAGGTCTTTCTGGGAAAGCTGTAGTGGCCCTTACAAGAATCCACACGCAAGGGAGAGGCACAATCACTATTATTAGAACCAAAGGTTAAAGAGGAGTACTAGTACTACTGCTGCTTATTTCTGTGCTTAGTTCATGCGTTGTCTGTTTGAATTGTATAGAAAGTGATATGCTTGTAAAATGGTTTACTTTTACAGAGTTATAGTCAGTTGTTTTGTATACATTGGCAGGAAGGCAATGTTAGTGCTTGAAAGAGTGCTCAACCCAACAACAATGCAACAATTTTCTGGTCTGAACTCACATGGAAGTGTGTAGGGGAAAAAAGGAAAAAGTGAAAAGAAGAATAGAAAAAAAAAAATTAAGAGAGAGAAAAAGTAAAAGCCATATCCAAAACCAAGAGTGGCAATCTTGTCTGACAAAGACACTGAGGCGATGCATTTTGCTATTCATATTTGGTACGGTCTGCTGCAATGGTCCTGACCACGAAACGAAGCTGGGTGCTACACTGCTATGATCGGTTGATCAGTTTGAAAAAGACGACATGCATGTAACTTGAATTGAGGGTTCTTAACAAAAATCTCCGGGTTAATTAGCTTCCATAATTAATCGATCCACATTCCACCATTCCATGCAAATTAGCGGTACAATCTCCAAACTTCTATATAGCATTTCTTTTCGGCTCTTGTTAGGTTCTGAATTCCATGCTATAACTGCATTCTAAAACCCCCGCTTGAATATTCACTTTTTTTTACCTCTGTAGGTTAAAGTAATACCTTGCCTACAATAGGCATATGACTTAGCCTACAATAGACATATGACTTAACTGTTTGATCTAGTGGCACTCAACTGATCTATTGGAGGTATGGAGGAGGGTGAAGTCTAGATATTGATTGCCATAAGGAACATTCTATTTAAATAAAATTCACTAATAAAATTTATATTGAGTGGTCCACCGATCATCGATATCATACCAATGCTCACTTAAGCAACCATCGTGAGTTGAAAAACCCAATAGAATTGAGAACTAAATGTTATTATATTCTATAATTATGCAAATCAAATCTTCTATAATTATGCATAAATTTTATTGTCCAAGATCTTAGAACTTTACAATTTTTATATACTAAATAAAGTTAAGAGATAACATATCTTGATCCATGATAAAATTTGAAAAGATTAATCAATCATAAAAAAAAAAAAAATCTTTTATAGAAAACTATTAATCACAAAAAAAAGCTTTTAGGAAACTATCAATGACAAGAAAAATCTTTTTAAAAACTATATTTCTCTTTCTAGAGTCCTTGATGTTCTTAAGTTTTTAGCATATACATAACATTATTGATAAAAATAATCTATCTATTTATAAGGTTGAAAGGAGACCGAGTTCAAATGTCATATTTAATGTTTCATAATTCAAAAGATTTTTAATTTATTGCTTTATGATTTAAGAGACTTTTGATTTAATGCTCTATCATTCAAAAGCCATCTTAATTTAATGTTCATAATTCAAAAAAACTCTTAATTTAATGCTCTATAATTCAAGAGAATTTTTAACAATACTCCATTAACGTGATTTTTTTACCTATACCTCCTCAAGTGACTAATAGGATTTTAGCACTTAATTTATTAAGCCATTAAAAAATACAAGCCACTTAAAAGAAAATATTTAACATTCTTACAAAACATAATATGTCTAGTAAAAGGCTAAACTCTTTTCTACATTGGTCATAAAATTAATTATGATTAAGTAAAAACTAATAAGGATTTATAGTGGTCGTATGTCATTGATTCAACATACTTCATTCTATGTATCACGATATTAGTTCAAAACTTAACATAATTTGTAATGAAATATGTCATAATGGTCCGACAATGATACATTTGTCAAAAAAACCTACTAATATTCACATAATTCATTTATGTATATATACCAACAATAAATAACATAATATTTAAAGATAAAAAATAATTCTTAAATGAGTTCGGATCACCAAATACATAAAGTACACAAAATAATAAAATTATGTCATTAGCGGTACCTAATAATACCCATTTTTTTTACATGTGCATGAAATATATTTGATGGCAATCGTTCGTTAAAGGATCTACAATCATAAGATTAGTGCAAATGTGTTCGATTAACACCTTTTGTTTTTGAACTTCTTCTTTAACGGCAAAGTATTTTATTTTTATGTGTTTAACACCTTTTGAATGTTTGTCATATCTTGAAAACATGACTCGTTGTGACATTATTACAATAAATTTTTAACGACTTGGTAATGTCGTTGACAATTTAAGTCCTAAAGGAAAGTTTCGCGACCACAAGCCATAAACAAGTGGCCTCAAAGCATGCTCGTAAATTTAGCTTCTATAGTAGATGCAACAATGATAGATCGTTTTCCACTTTTTCATGAGATTGCTCCTTCGACTAAAGAAACAAATATTCAAATGTGGTTTTTTTTTTTATTAGTATAAACACATTCAAGCATAATCTAAATATGAATATTCAATCACCTCAAGATGATTGAATCTCCTAAAGTGAGCATATGATCTTTTGTTCTTTGTAAATATCATAGTACTTTCTTCACCTTTTCAATTGTCTAATCTTGGAGTACTTTGATATCCGCTTAGCATTCCAACAACAAAGCTAATTTTTGGTCCGATATAGGTTTGAGCATACATCAAACTCCCACTAATAGATGCATAAGGAATTCTTTCCATTTTTGTACGTTCTATTTCATTCTTTAGTCATTGCATAAAGGTGAATTTATCTCTTTTTTAAATTGAAACAACATTTATAAATTATTTTTTCATCTTAAATCTCTTTAGAACTTTATATATATATATATATATATATATATATATATATATATATATATATATATGAGACAACCCTAATAATCTATGTGATATGTCATGAAATATTTCAATTCCTATCACATAAGATGCCTCATCCATATTTTTCATTTCAAAGCAAGTAATATGTCAAGATTATTAGCGACAATAATATGTCATCAACATACATAACAAGAATTATAAACTTACTCCCACTTACCTTTAATATATATATATATATATATATGTATGTATGTATGTATGTATGTATGATTTATGAGACAACCCTAATAATCTATGTGATATGTCATGAAATATTTCAATTCCTATCACATAAGATGCCTCATCCATATTTTTCATTTCAAAGCAAGTAATATGTCTAGATCATTAGCAGCGATAGTATGTCATCAACATACATAACAAGAATTATAAACTTACTCCCACTAACCTTTAAATATATACATCGATCTATAGTATTTTTCTTAAATCCAAAGAAAGTAATAATATCATTAAATTTAAGATAACATTTTCCGAAAGCTTGTTTAAGTTCATTTATTGATTTTTTAAGTTTACACATTATATGTTCCTTTCTTTCAATTAAAAACTCATTAGGTTTATCCATGTAGATATCTTTTTCTAAATTCCCATTCAAAATGGCATTTTTTACATTTGATATATCTCTAAATCATAATGAGCTACTATTGCTATAATAATTCTAAACGAGTCCTTCTTAGAAATAAAAGAAAATATCTCATTATAGTCAACACCATCCTTTTGAGTATAACTCTTGGTAATGAGTTTAGTTATATCGTTTGATATTTCCATTTGAGTCGTGTTTGGATTTAAAAATCAATTTACAACCAACTCTCTTATAACTCTTAGGCATTTCAGCGAGATTCCGGACTCCATTATTATCTATGGATTTTAACTCTTCTTTCATAACGTCTAACCATTTAATAGAATTTTCACTTTCAATGACGTTGTAAAAATGAAACTAGATCATTATCCATTCCTAAGTTGATTTTTGATCGTTGTAGATAAACTAAATAAAAATTTAGAATAGAGGATCTCATTTCTTTTTTAGATCTTCTTAACATTTTTTCTTGTAATTAATTCAAATACTACAAGGTCATTGTCAATAACTTCATTATGTGGAATTCAATCATTTATTTGTCGTTCTTCCGAGTTGTCAAAATGTTCAACAACTATACGAATGGAAACTTGAGAAGAAGTTATAATTATAGAAACTTGCATCCTAACTTCTTGGATTTCCACTTTACGTGGGTTTATACTCTCACTAGTTTTCCATTTTCTATAGACTTAGCATTTCCAATTTTAATAATCCTCATGCTATGGCTAGGACGAGTAAAGTCTAGACCATTTAATTTTTTTTGGTTAACTAGTGAAGAATCTGCTTGGTTATTCTTAAATCCATATTTTTTTTCATATGGATTATAAATCCTTACTTTTGTCGAGCAACTCTAAATATATAAATGCCTCAAACTAAGTTTTCTATTCGTTTATAATTCAAAAGAATTCTTGAAACTTCCTTACTAGGAACTTTATTTAATAAATACATGACAACCTTTAAGGCATACATCTATAATGATAAAGGTAAAGAAGAAGGACTCAACATATTCATAACCATATCTATTAAAGTATGATTATGTCTTTCCGTAACTCCATTCTATTGCGGTAGACCTAACATTATGTACCGAACACATATGCCACATTTGTCTTAGCAAATAGACCGGGGCATTGTATATTTTCATCATACTTTTCATAATATTCACTCGCTTTTATAAAACCCGACAATTTTCCCTTTCGATGTAGTTATCTTTCAACCTCATTAATAAACACCTCTAAAGTCGTTATTGATTAAGATTCGTATGCTACAAACAGATGCAGGGATAACATGAAAAATCATTAATAAAAGTTATAAAATATTTTTCTCTACCAAAAGACGAAACATAAAAAAATCCACGTATATCAATGTGTATAATTTAAAAAAAGTCGTGAGCTTCTTCTAGCTTATTTCTTATTTGTATTATTTTGTATATTTTCCTTTAATGTAATCCACACAAATACCAAGATTAGTAAAATCCAAAAGGATTTCATTCCTTACTAATCTAATTGTTCTTTTTGGATATGAGATCCAAACGTTTATGCCACAAGTAACATGAACTTTCATTTACTAAACCACTCTTAGTATCAATATTATAATGCAAGCTCGACAAAGTCTTAAAAAAAAGGTTATCAAGCTTTAATTTGTACAAATCGTTACAAAGAATACCGGAACTAATAAAATAATCATGTTTAAAAAAACCGAAACATTCATTCCTAAATTTAAAAGAATATCCAACTATATAAAGTTTTGATAAGGAAACTAAATTTTGAGAAATAAAACAAACATAAAGAGTTTGAAAAACATCTAGATGATGTCTAGTGTCTTAAATTAAATGATAGATTTCAATGGCTTCAAATAGAGCTTTGACTCGGTTTCCTATGAAAACAAATTTTTCATTTAGATGGCTTGGGTCAGTAAGAAATCCCTACATCATATTAGTAACATGAGTGGTATAACCAAAATCAATCCACCAAGTATTATAAGAAACTTTTGCTAAATTTGGTTTGAAATATACAAAAGCACTAAGCATGTCATTTTTTTTAACCATGCCTTACATTTAAGGCAATCTTTCCGATAGTGTCTAATTTTTTGCGAAATTATGCTTATCATTCTTTAATTCCTTCATGTGGATTGGGGTAGACGATATATTAACCTTATGTACTACTTGCTTACCCTTTTCTTTATCTTTTTTATATTTTTTTCTAGCTTTTTGACAACCCACAAGATTAATTGTGTGATTTTTTTTTTTTAGTTCTTAAGCCTTGCTTCCTATTGAATAAGCATACTTTGTAGATCATTCACATTCTATTTATCCTTTATAGTATTGTAACTAATTTGGAATATACCATATTTAGAAAGCAATAGGTTTATGATAGTTGCAGTTCATTCACATTCTCTTTATATTTTATACTATTGTAACTCATTTGGAATGGATCATATTCGAAGCAATGAGTTTATGATAAGTTTCATAAGAAAACTATCACTCACTTCCATCCCTATATATCTTAATGTTGTTATTGTAATTGTCATTTAAGTGACATGCTCATGTATGATACAAAAATTATCAAACTTAATTGTGTTTAACATACCTATTAGAGTCCTAGTAAGTGACTTATTAGCAGAATCGGACTATGAAACATCTTTCATAAACTTTAATTATTTCTTAGCACTTTTAGTTTTAGGAATTATAGCAATGTTGCTAGCTATAGTCATTTGCATAAACATTAAACTTAGTCTATTTGCTCTTTCCCAAACCTAATGGAAAGACCTTTCTTCAAAATTGCTAGAGTCAATAAGAGTAGCAAGCTTATCATTAAGGAGTGTCAAATCAATATTTAGAACACCTAGGTGAAACTAAATTTGTTCACACCAATTAGAAAAGTTAAGTCCATTGAATTTTTTTATTGATGCAGCTTATGAACAAAGAGCAACAAAAATAGATACTGCAAAATAACATTAAATACCCATACATTAATGCTTTAAGTTATAATTTAAATATATAATATAGATTCAAATAACATTCATATAAATAATTCGTGCATATTGAAGTTCTCCTTTCGGTGAAGCAAACAATATACAAATAATAATAAAAAGACTGATACTTAACTTTAATTTTTCATATAATTGATAATTATATGTATACTTTAATTAGACATGACTCGTTATCTTAATTTGGATATGCTAAACATATATAATTAAGCATATTAATTAAACACAATTGTCTTCTTCGATATAAAATTAACTAATCAATCTTTGGGCGATTCTTAAATATTTTATAATCAATAAAATTTAGCATATCCATTACATACATCATCATGTCTCATCTCGATCATAAGCATCACACAATCATGGGTAGCTGAATTTTATTTTATTTTATTTTTTTATTTTTTAAAATTTCTTATTTGGCCACTTTGATGGCTAACAAATTGTTCATAATATAAACATCAAATTAAATAATATTTCTTTCATCTCATAAATTGTAATTAATATATATATTAATCATTTATTTGAGATAAAGAAAAAAATTGCAATAAAAAAAATCGTAAGTGGAGAAATTATAAGTTCAAAACCTTTAGGCTTTGATACCATATGTTATACTATTATATAATTATGCAAATCAAATCTTCTATAATTATGCATAAACTTTAGTCCCTAAAATTTTAGAACTTTATAATTTTCACATACCAAATAAAGTTAAGAGAGAACATACCTAGATCCATGATAAAACTTGAAGAAATTAATCAATCACAAGAAAAATCTTATATAGGAAAGTACTAACACAAGAAAAGCTTTTAGAAAACTATCAATTACAAAAAAAATAAAAAAATAAAAAAATAAAAAATCTTTTAGAAAATTGTATTTCTCTCTCTTGGCCTTAAGTTTTTAACATACATGCAATATTATCGACATAAATAATTTGCCTATTTATAAGGTAGAGAGATGACTTAGTTAAAAAATCACATTTAATGTTCCATAATTCAAAAGTGTTTTAAATTTACTGTCCTATAATTAAAAAGATTTTTTTATTTAATGCTTTATAATTCAAAAGTCATCTTAATTCAGTGTGTTATAATTCAAAAGTTATCTTAATTTAATGCTTCATAATTCAAGAGATGTTTTAATACTCCATGAACATGACTTTTTATTTATATCTTCTTAAGTGGCCAATAGGATTTTAGCATGTAATTTATTAAACTATTAAAAAAATGGGCATTTAAAAAATAAAATATCTAACATTAAATACTCCATTATTCAATGTATTATATTTTCTTCTTGAATTGAAATAACATCTCGTATGAACTACAAGATGGTATCCACTAGTAAACAAGCCTCGACTTGTAAACTAGGTTCAGAATTAGATCCTTGTGGTAAGCTTTTTTAAAAATTTATTCTAATAATATTTGAAACAGTGCGTTGGGAAGGACTTCTTAGTTATGTCCAAAGAAAAATTAGTTTGGAAATATATGAAAGCTGATCCGAAGACACTCTTAATGTCGGAAAAAACGAAAAAGAAAAAGAAATAGCATCTCGTGCAAGTGTAAACGAGAGTACGAGTGCATTGGATGGATAAAATTAGTAAGTTTCCCAAATTTAAATACCTCTTATACAGTACTCCTCTGTTGTTCAACTTCAAAACCAACTGCCTTCTTCAGACATAGCTGGATGGAAACACAGCAGACCATCGGTGCCCTCTCTTCTACTGTTAATTTATAGGGTTTTAATTTTATTTCTTTATTGTAATGACTAATGAGTGGAGCACCTTGAGCACATTCCTAGGTAGTGATCTTTCTATAACTATATTTTAGGCAGCAAAACAATCTTAATTATTGATAACGAAATTATTTATTTATTATTGACTGCAGATTTCTAAACCAGATTCGAGGAGATAGGTCAGTAGCTTATAGAATTCACGGAGCGCTTCAATCATTAGTCAAATATTATCGTGGTAGTTAGCTAAATTCTTCATGTGCTGCTATCTTCTCTTTCTACATAGGTCAACACCAACCATTTTAAAAAGTCACGAATCCCGATACAATATCCGACATGTGGGACCCCGTACATGACCTACCTGTCCTAATCATCTCTCATTACTGAGGGTAACCTGAATCACCACTCTTGCATCCCTTTGACATTTTAACATCAGAATGTGTCTTGCACATTTCAGTGGTGATGAGTTGAGGCAGACGAACGCAACTCTCAGGGGACACTTCACAGCTGGAAGGCAAAAGTCCCACCTACGTGGTTGAAACTTAGTGGGTTGTGACAAAGAGTGACGTCGATTAGGGTTTTGTCTCTTTATTGCAACAATGATTACTGTTGCTTAGGTTGAAGAAGCTTTTTGACCTTTATAGGCATCTTTGTTTTCGTTGCAAAAAGATCTGATTAGGTAGACCCCAGATGGATATATGCACATTATGCCTACTAATTGTCTGCTTAGTTTAAAATTTCAAACTTTTTTTTTGTTAGTTATGCTCGGCCAATGAAATAAGAATCTTTGTTGTGAAATATTAAAGTGACAAAAGACATATATGGTGGCTTTTGAATTGTAGATATCTTGCGCGATGCATGACAAAAGAGCAAGTACGATATATATATATATATATATATATATATATATATATATATATATGCTTGTGATTAAAGTATATAAAATACGATCGAATTTCATCGTTGAAGAATTTATCGTAATGGCTAATGAACCTGCTACACTTAAATTGAAATATTGTTCTTTTTTTTATCCAGCACTAAATTCATGTTAGGAGTCTTCTTGTAAAAGTTTTTTTTTTTTAATCTTATCTATCAAATTATTTTAATTTCTAATAAGGTTTTATCTTTTCTGAAAAATATTTCGAGCATATTATAATATAATTGAACTGATATATTTATAAAGATTTTTTCTTTTAAAATAAACATTGTATTGAGCTTAAATCCTGAATGATAATTTGAGAATTATACTCATTTTTTACTTACATGAAACCTACAAAAATAATTTATTCGTAAACCGATAGAAGAAGAGAGTTGTTCAAAGCATGGAGTATTATTCTCTTTCTTTTTTCCTCTTTATTCATTCAATTTGTTAAAAAGAGAAATGGAAACAAAAAGGAAAAACCTAGGTATACGTGAGAATATTTTGTGCTTTTTTGCCTTTACCAAATCCCAAACGAAGAGAATTTGATTCTTCTATGGTTTTAATATTGCAATTGGGATTCATCCATGAAAATACTTTCAGGAAATAATAATATACGTTTATAAATCCTCATTTTACTTTGTCGATCAATGATATCAAAAAGGCCTGCATATGATGTCAGATCAATGTTGGAGTAAATGCAAGAAGGCCTATTTTGGATCCTGATTATGTAACAATTGCTCCCTTCAGCTCGATGGGCCACATGGAAGTTTACCACGAAGACCCAAGTACATAAAAGTAAAGATGAAAGGCCCAATACCTGGGCTCGATGAAATCCTTATCTTTCTTTCTTTCTTTCTTTTTTTCAAGCGACATCTCTCTCTCTCTCTCTCTATATATATATCTGCAGAAACATCTAAATGATACTTAAATGTGAATAATCTGGTGCAAGAAATGAAAGAAAATGATACTTTTTTCTTTTAACGAAAGGAAGGTTTGAATCTGAAATTTTTAGGAAAAAAAGAGAGGATATGGATGTCCATTGATATACAAGTTCTACAAAGGAACTAATAATTAAATAATAAAATTTTTAAATTTGTAACTTGGGATTGAAAAATTTGATTGAAATATGAAAATTGTTTGATGATGAATAAGATATCATTATTATAAAATATGTTTGTTTTAATAGTTGGATTAAACTTCTTGTTTCGAAGTGGTATGAAGTGACAATATCAGTTGCCAACCAATTTAACAAAGTCGTGATTAAATGAAGGTGATTCAATTCATGAATTTGCAATATCTCACCTTGAAATATTATATATAAATCTAGCTAGGTGGATGTAAGTATAATAGTGCCATCTCTTTCTAAAAAAAAATTAGTGAATACTTTCTTTCTTAATTTCATCTTAATTAGGGGATTTACCAATAATAATCGTTCAAGCCTTCAAGGCTATTTGACCTCCAGCTGGAAAATAATAGTGATAATAATAACATTACCAATAATTCCTGTAAGACTAAGTCTCTAAGAGAATATATGTAGTCCACTTAATCGGCAGTAGTGCAGTTGTAAAGGTGTCCCCGAGCTAGGAAGCAATGACTTTTTCGTATTTTAGATATATAGTCAGGTTTTTGGATATAGGATTTGATTTCCTCTTCTTCTTTCTTTTGCTCTGTTTGTTTGTTTTTCCCCCCTTCAAGACAGCACCTGATGGATGACGGCGGCTCTGACTCATTAAATACCTTTTTGATAAGCCGCACAATCGAACTCGAAGAAAAAAGAATTTTATAATTAATTTTGAACTTTTCCATTTAATTTGGAATTATTTGATGCCCCAATTATTGCTTCCCACGTGGGAATCAACATGGATTCGTGGGGTTTTCTTCAATACTCCCGCCGGAAACGAAGTCTGCTGCTAAACTCCAACTGTAAATCCATGGAACAAATCGCGAAAGAGCAATTCAAATTGCAAATTATTGCCATCAAATAAAAATCTATGTTACAAGTTACAAACCGAGATAAAACAATTGCACAAGCTTCAATGTACCAGTTATCCTTCGATCAAAAAACAAGACTACAAGTTCAGAAAAGCTAACTGATTCTAATTATGTAACCTAGTTCAGACGAAACTTTTAACATCTAAACCCCAAAATCTGACATAGCTTCCCAACTCTTTATTTCCAGAATTGGAGATTGCTTTCCTTCTGTAACTACAACAGACCCATTATTATGTAACCATTAATTTTGAAAAAGACTGGTTACACCTATCTAGTATCCAATAGCTAGACATCAAAAAACAAAATGAAAATAATGCCTAGAGCAACCAAGTTGAAGAAACGGGTTCCACAAAAATCAAAGAAATGAGGAGAACAAGATGATGTCAATGAGAAGAAACCCTCGATGTTGATGAAGGGGAGGTGCTCTGTTTTCCAAAACAGTGTCCAAAGAAGGAGCATATTATCTTTAAAGATTCCTTCAGAACTCGGCCTCTTTTAGGGACCCAACGAGGCACCAAGGGTGGTGGAGGCAATGGTGGAGTTGGCGCAGCCATGTCGAGCGGTAGTTTCCAATGGTGTTTTCTTTTTCTTTTTTCGTGGGTGGCTGCTGCAAATGGCAATGGATGTTCTGGGCAAAGTTTATGAGCACTTGGTTGGGAGCCAAGAGCTAGCCGACATGAAGTTTAAATATAAGAATACACCGCGTTCGCAACGAGTAAGAAGCCGTGTGAGGGATTGGAGGTTATAAAAGAGACTCGTTCTAGAAATTAAAATGAAAATGAGAAAGGACACCTACTCTTAAAACCCATCTTTCACTTTTCTCTGTTAGCATAGATGGATATCACACAAGGGCAGACCCAGGTCTCCGATTACTCTCTTTGCTTTCGAGTATGTCTTGGTCTTGAACGGGTCCCGGAGGTTTTTCACACGCTTTTGCAAAGAAGGTTAGTCCTCCAGCAGCCTTTGATGCAAGTTCTCTATGGGAGTGCCAGGTAGCCAACCATTGGACCTTTTCTATACTTCTTAGCCAATGGCCTTGCAGGTTCATTTTAGCCTGGGTTAACTATCCATATCAATTCTTATACTATTACAAACTGTTTAATCAGATACCTCTAACAAATGAAGAGTTAATTAATCCCCTCTACATTAGTTATTTGTTGGTAACATCGCTGATGAGGAAAAGTAATTACATTAGTTAATAATGCCACATGTTCATGTCGCTTCGTTGACCATCAATTTTTTTTTTGATTATATATATATATATATATAGTTAAAAGCCAATTTCAAAATTAAAAATAGGGTACGGAAAATGAGAAAAAAGAATACTTAAAAATGCTAGTATAAATAAGGAATTAAAGTAAATCGCCCACATAAAAGATTTCAATCAAATTTTTGAATTGATAAAAATTATGATCAAATAGTTTTTTGTAAAACAAGGATGGAATAGTTCGTTAACCCCATTTAGCCTACTGCATCATTAATTTTGAGAAGGAACTAATTCAGCTAATATATCATTTTTGTGCGATAGATATGTGGGTTTGAATACCAATAGCTTCTACTTCATTGGTAATGGCTTTTTGTTTATATACAAAAAGTTATGGGTTAACTCTTTATTTTGCTAATAGCTTAAACTTTGGATATGTGTTCAATGCGTGAGTTTATATATATATATAAAAGTGTGTGCTTGAATTTTTATGGATATGGTAGATCTAATGATACTAAAAGTTTTGATGGTAATGATTTTTCATAAATATAATTCCATGATTGCAATCAGGCAACCGGATGTTTAGACATTATTTGTCTCTCCATTCAAAATCAATCTACTTTTTGTACAAATTTTTACTTTAAAGTGATGAGAGATACACATGTTGAATTTCTATGAATTTCATTTTCAAAGAAGAAAAGGATAAATTGATTAAAAATTCCAAAATTAATTTGATTTTTTTATACTAATTTTTAATTTATTTAAGATGGCTCATATACTGAATGTTAGAATTTAGATGTATTGTATCAGTATGTTTTCGTTCTCACAAATAACACAAGAAAATCACAAAGCATTTTCAAAATCAAATACAAAAATCTGAATTTTATTTTTTTAGATTTGAAATTTCCTTGGTGTTTATAAATCCAGTGATGGATGGAACCAAGATAGGTATGGAGGAACTTGTAAAGACAATCTTTAATCCTCAGTGGTCGCCTTGCTAGTAATGGTCGGAACCTAGCAGAGAGTTCCTCTCAATCTAAATATCCCATAATATATATATATACATATATATATATATATAGAGAGAGAGAGAGAAAGAGAGAGAGAGGCTTAAAGGGTGCCAATGAAACGGTTTAATGACAAAAAATATTTTCATTTTTTTATAATTTGATAATTTCATATATTTATTATCAATTTACATAATTTGAACTTTAAAATATTAATTTTTAGGCAAATCTTATCCAAGTTGTATTTTTTTTATTATTTGTAACAGTCAATTTACTTGATCGTTAATTTTTTTATTGTTTTTTTAAAAAAGTGTTTTTCCTTCATTTTTCAAGAGATTTTTTTTCCACACGTTAAACTATAAATAAATTAAAAAGTTAGTTCAATTTATCACTAATTTTTTTTTTGTTCTTCTTGAAAAAATGCTTTCACTTTTTGAACCTATAATTAAAAAACTAAAAGTAAAATCAGAAAAGTTTTTTTTAAAAAATGTTTTCTAAATCTAACAAAAAAGACACTTTAAATCTTATTTATTAAAAGAAGGTAGTTTTTGCTATGTAGATGTCACGACCCCGTAAATGAGCCATGACTAGTGCGACAATCATGTGATCCACCTCGACTAAAGCAAGCATCGAATACTTATACTATAATTCTCAAACCAAGTATCATATCAAATATCATTTCATTTTACCATATTCCTAGCTAATATTCATTACTTTATATTTCCAACACAATTTATAATTCAATGCTATTCTTGCATTTCTCAACTCAATATTTATAATAGATTCATAATACAATTTCTACAAGAAATAATTGTAGAGCTTCTAAGAATTATAACAAACTCTAACATAGGCTCTAATAGATTACAAGTAAATAAGCCGCACTATTAATGTGCCGATTTCAAGACAAGCAACGAGTAGAAGCTAAAAGGACACTCTCACAAACCCTACAAAACTAAAATTGTGGAGGGTGAGTAAATCAACGGCTCGGTGAGTAGATACTATATAATATAATAAGGAAGAGAAACGGACTAAGGACGTTAACTTAAAATTCAATTCGAGATGTAATGTTTTTTTCTTCAAAACAAATACATATCAATAACTTGAATTTTTTTAATGTTCAAATATGTATATAGGTATAATTAAATACTATTATATTTTAGTTTCTTATCGGCAAGTAAAGATAATAGTTGGTTTCTTTATTAGTCATTTTTTTCTACATTTGTAGTTATAAGATAGTCGAATGACACAATTAAGATAACACATTATTCTATTCTCCTCTATATTTTGATAAAAAATTGTGTTTCTTCTATGGATTTCTTCGATTGCTAGTGTAGTGCATAGATATGATGATAAAAATGATGCAATTATGGATATGATTATAATGAATGGTTGAATATGAAAACCAATTGCAGTCATTTGTGTTGTTGGCACCCTTTTCGTGGACTCTAAGCTCGTTAATGGTTAACATAGTTGATTTTCTTGATAAGTTTGGAGTTTACGGACTTAATGATTTCATTGCTTGGTTCTAACAATTGAAAAACCCATTTGAGATTTCATTGGAATCAAAACAATGCAAATTGTGAAGTGATTAAAGAAATGTGATTTAGAAACAAAAAGACTCATTTCGACTGAATTAAGATTGAAAAACTTTATCTCCTCTAGCAATTAAGGTTGATGACCAATATTATCCTTTTCTTCATACTTGTACAAGGTGCAACAGGAATGTTGCATCTGTTAGCTATAGATGTATGATGGAAATATTATTAGGAAGGATTTGCTAATTAGTAGAAGGAATAAGACTCGAAATTTACAACAAAAAACTGTTGGATGTGGGATTTTAGGCAAATAAGAAAATTTTAAAAAAATCATTTCAAATCATCATGTAGAGAAAAAGATAGATAGATAGATAGAGAGAGAGAGAGAGGGAAAAAAAAAGAAAGAAAAGAAGAAGAACATGCCGATACAAAGAGAGGAGAAATTTTGTAATACTTAAAAAGAGAAAAATAGGAGAGAGAAAATTAAAAAAAATTGAGCCAAGGTGAAAATCTCCTCATCACTTTTGGTGAATCCGGATCTAATTCTCTTTTTTTTTTATGTGTCTATCTCTCTTCTTAAAAGTGGGTCCATTGAGTAATTACTGTACATGTTATTAGTTACTTCTTGAGTATTATAAAATTTCTCAAAAGAGAAGATAGTAAAAAGGAGATTAATATGTCATGATAAAACATTTATTTAACAAAATAATTTTTTTTAAAAAAAATCAAATTTGACATGTAAATTTGTATAAATGAAATGGCTCTTATATGGAGATTTTTTTCTTCCTAAATAAAGCATTTTTTTAATCTATTTTCCCAAAACAAAGCACGTTAAATCTTAATTACTAAAAAAGAGTAGTTTTTGCCATCTAAGCATCTCATTCATTCTTTTAGTTATGTGGTCACTATATAAATTTAAAATAATAATTTTAAAAAGTTAGAAAAAAGAAAAGAAGAGAGAGAGAGAGAGAGAGCTTTCGTTCTTTCTTTTGCTATTTTTTTCCCCTAATTTCTTAAAATCCAAATACTCTTATAACTCAAAATCACAATTGCTATAAAAGTTTTTTAGCATATGAATGCTCTCAATTAAGGTACCTTTCTTATTTTTTTCTTTTATTTATTTAATTTTCATAAATTATGAACTTATGATATACCCATTATTAATACACAATGAATGTATTGTGTGCTCATTATTAAATTATGTATGTATAGTTCTCTTCTTAGGAATTAAATATATATACCTTAAAAAAGAAGAAGCCAAATTAATGGTACTATCCTAGTGTAATTCTTGTAGAACGGTAGAAGTCATTACAGGATGAATTCTATAAGATTTTTTTTTGATATTATTGGATTTGTTGTTTTGCCTTTTAACATATACTGGGTGTGTATCACTTATGATATTTGATACCCACGGAAAGATTTTTAAGGAATAAGGATCTTAACATGGTTTAAAAAAAGAAAAAGAAAAAGAAAAAGAAAAGAAAAATGATAAAAAGGTTGAGAAAGAACTGCAATGGTTCTTTATTTTGAAAAAAAAAATACAATGTAATTCAGCTTTGCCTTAAGTGAATCATCCCAATGTCATGTAACTGTATAGGGAAACTTTGATTCACATTATACTCCCATCAACAACTAGAGGGGTAGGATAATTGTTGCCTTGTTCGCATCAATTCTTCAAGTGCCTTTTTGGACGATGCCTGCATGATTTACTCTCTAATAGTCTAATTAGTATATCATTAGTGTAGTAAATACGTAAGGGGTTGATTGTTTTCATGATAGGGTCGTCATCAACTCCTTTTATGTCCATG